GGATATTGGAAGAACTGTCCACATTTACTTTTCGTCAGCCAACAAGATGAGTAGGCCTAACGAACAGCAAAAGCACTAGCCTATGTCAATCTACTATCCCCCATAGTACAAAAGTTGACCTATTCTCTGCGATAAATAAATATTCCAAACATAGTCTGGGACAGTTGTGAGATGCGATAGATCCCAAATTAATACAACCACTAGCATAAAAAAATTAAAATAAATGTTTTTAAGCAATGAGGCTGGCGCAACAGATATAGAACGTTTAGCTTAAAATGTTGATAAATTATTAGGATATTTCTTCACATTATAAGCGCATACGGCATTAGGCTGTAACCGCGAATGTTCCAAAAGGCAGTCAATTTGCTTAAAAACACAATTTTCAAAAGTGACCGCAAATGTGATTAGCATGTAATGCTTTTATTATGAAGGCACATTTTTATGGTGAAAGGTATCTTCCCCAAACTTGAAACTCATGCGCTGCGTATGTATGCCACTTAGGCTGTACACCTGTTGTAAAGCGAATTAATGTGCTAAATTTTAAGAAGTTATTTGGCCACTTTAGTTGTGATCCAAACCTTATCAAAACATACAGTGCCTTCGGAAAGTATTCAGACCCCTTGACCTTTTCCACATTTTGTTACGTTAAACAACCTTATTCTAAAAGATTTAAATTGTTTTTTTTCCCTCATCAATCTACACACAATACCCCACAATGACAAAGCAAAAACAGGTTTTTAGACATTTTTGCAAATGTATACGGAAATATAGCATTTACGTAAGTATTCAGACTCTTTACTCAGTACTTTGTTGAAGCACCTTTGGCAGCGATTACAGCCTTGGGTATGATGCTACAAGAGTGGCACACCTGTATTTGGGGAGTTTTTTTCCATTCTTCTCTGCAGATCCTCTCAAGATCTGTCAGGTTGGATGGGGAGTGTCGCTGCACAGCTATTTTCAGGTCTCTCCAGAGATGTTCGATCGGATTCAAGTCCGGGCTCTGGCTGGGCCACTCAAGGACATTCAGAGACTTGTCCCGAAGCCACTCCTGCGTTGTCTTGGCTGTGCTTAGGGTCGTTGTCCTGTTGGAAGGTGAACCTTCCTGAGGTCCTGAGCGCTCTGGAGCAGGTTTTCATCAAGGATCTCTCTGTACTTTGCTCCGTTCATTTTTCCCTCGATCCTGACTAGTCTCCCAGTCCCTGCCGCTGAAATACATTGCCACAGCATGATGCTGCCACCACCATGCTTCACCATAGGAATGGCACCAGGTTTCCTCCAGACGTGACAGAATTCAGGACAAAGAGTTAAATCTTGGTTTCACCAGACCAGAGAATCTTCTTTCTCATGGTCTCAGTCCTTAAGGTACTTTTTGGCAAACTCCAAGTGGGCTGTCATGTGCTTTTTACTGAGGAGTGGCTTCCATCTGGCCACTCTACCATAAAAGCCTGATTTGGTGGAGTGCTGCAGAGATGGTTGTACTTCTGGAAGGTTCTCCCATCTCCACAGAGGAGCTCTGTCAGTGACCAAGGCCCGTCTCCCCCGATTGCTCAGTTTGGCCGGGCGGCCAGCTCTAGGAAGAGTCTTGGTGGTTCCAAACTTCTTCCATTTAAGAATAATGGAGGCCACGGTGTTCTTGGGAACCTTTAATGCTGCAAACTGTTTTTGGTACCCTTCCCCAGATCTGTGCCTCGACACAATCATGTCTTGGAGCTCTACGGACAATTCCTTCGACCTTATGGCTTTGTTTTTGCTCTGACATGCACTGTCAACTGTGGGACCTTATATAGACAGGTGTGTGCCTTTCCAAATCATGTCCAATTAATTGAGTTTACCACAGGTGGACTCCAATCAAGTTGTAGAAACATCTCAAGGATGATCAATGGAAACAGGATGCACCTGAGCTCAATTTCGAGTCTCATAGCAAAGTGTCTGAATACTAATGTAAATAAATACATTTTCACACATTTCTAAAAATCTGTTTTCGCTTTTCTATTATGGGGTATTGTGTGTAGATTGACGAGGAATATTTTTAATTCAATCAATTTTACAATAAGGCTGTAACGTAACAAAATGTGGGAAAAGGGAAAGAGTCTGAATACTTTCCGTATTCTGTATAGGCCTATGGGCTAGGCTACATGAGTTTGGGACTATGATTTGAAAAAGTTGCAAAAAACAGGCATGCACTGTTTCTTTCCTTACTGCACACAAGCTGGGAATCATTCACAAGTGATAAATATCATTCACAAGTGATAGGCTAATATTGTCACCCATCAGACTGTTCTTGATTTAATCTTGTCTTTACTAAATAATATGTAAAATTTGTTTTGATTTTGAATGGACCGTTATCATGCACCTGTCTCAACAGGGGCAGGGGGAAAAATACTTGTCATCTATGCACTTAAATAGTGAATGGAGGACGCTTTTCCTGTGGTTCATTTTCATGCCAGTCAGGTAGGCTATACTCATGTTGTAAAGAGAAGCAATGTGCTTAATATTAGGAAAGTTGAGAAATAAATATAGTAGGCCTAGTCTATAGAAAGCTGATGGGATCCTCTTTTTAATAGAGGACATCACTCTGTTTTCTCACGCAATTGCATTGCCTATAAAAATGTTGTGCAACATGAGCTCATGGGCTCTCATTAAGTTTTTGATTAGATTTTCGAACATATTTTCTATTGATGTCAGAGTGATTAGAGGGACAATAGTGCTGAGTACCAGGCAGTTAGCAAGTTTGGTAGGCTACTAATGACCATCAGCAGCATCAGAGCTTGGAAAAGCCTAATTACCGTGACTAAATGGTCATGTGGAATTTGACTGCCATCATGACTCGTGACCGCCAGTGTGGGGGTAATACGGTCACCATAACAGTCAAATACCATGAATTTTAGGTATCAAAAAATAATTAACAATTATTTGGAAAAAAATGAATTTGGTCCTATAGTCCATAGAAACGCTTTTAATAACACATTCATAAATGGCAAAAAAGACAGTGAAAAAATAAATCATAAGGTTTTGAAGTGTCTGTCCTAGGAGATATAAGAAAGAACATTTTATTGTTGCAGTCGGAAGTTTACATACACCTTAGCCAAATACATTTAAACTCAGTTTTTCACATTTCCTGACATTTAATCCTAGTAAAAATTCCCTGTTTTAGGTCAGTTAGGATCACCAATTTATTTTAAGAATGTGAAATGTCAGAATAATAGTACAGAGTGATTTTATTTCAGCTTTTATTTCTTTCATCACATTCCTAGTGGGTCAGAAGTTTACATACACTCCAATTAGTATTTGGTAGCATTGCCTTTAAATAGTTTAACTTGGGTCAAACGTTTCGGGTAGCCTTCCACAAGCTTCCCACAATAAGTTGTGTGAATTTTGGCCCATTCCTCCTGACAGAGCTGGTGTAACTGAGTCACGTTTGTAGGCCTCCTTGCTCGCACACGCTTCAGTTCTGCCCACAAATGTTCTATATGATTGAGGTCAAGGCTTTGTGATGGCCACTCCAATACCTTGACTTTGTTGTCCTTAAGCCATTTTGCCACAACTTTGGAAGTATGCTTGTGGTCATTGTCCATTTGGAAGACCCATTTGCGGCCAAGCTTTAACTTCCTGACCGATGTCTTGAGATGTTGCTTCAATATATCCACATAATTTTCCTTCCTCAGGATGCCATCTATTTTGTGAAATGCACCAGTCCCTCCTGCAGCAAAGCACCCCCACAGCATGATGCTGCCACCCCCGTGCTTCACGGTTGGGATGGTGTTCTTCGGCTTGCAAGCTGCCCCCTTTTTCCTCCAAACATAACGATGGTCATTATAAATAATAATAATAAGAAAATAATAATTATAATGGTCATTATGGCCAAACAGTTTTATTTTTGTTTCATCAGACCAGAGGACATTTCTCAAAAAAGTACAATCTTTGTCCCCATGTGCAGTTGCAAACCGTAGTCTGGCTTTTTTATGGAGGTTTTGGAGCAGTGGCTTCTTCCTTGTTGAGCGGCCTTTCAGGTTATGTCGATATAGGACTTGTTTTACTGTAGATACTTTTGTACCCGTTTCCTCCAGCATCTTCACAAGGTCCTTTGCTGTTCTGGGATTGATTTGCACTTTTCGCACCAAAGTACGTTCATCTGTAGGAGACAGAACGCGTCTCCTTCCTGAGCGGGATGACGGCTGCGTGGTCCCATGGTGTTTATACTTGCGTACTATTGTTTGTACAGATGAACGTGGTACCTTTAGGTGTTTGGAAATTTCTCCCAAGGATGAACCAGACTTGTGGAGGTCTACAGTTTTTTTTTCTGAGGTCTTGGCTGATTTCTTTGGATTTTCCCCATGATGTCAAGCAAAGAGGCACTGAGTTTGAAGTTAGACCTTGAAATACATCCACAGGTACACCTCCAATTGACTCAAATTATATCAATTAGCCTATCAGAAGCTTCTAAAGCAATTACATCATTTTCTGGAATTTTCCAAGCTGTTTAAAGGCACAGTCAACGGAGTGTATGTAAACTTCTGACCCACTGGAATTGTGATACAGTGAATTATAAGTGAAATAATCTGTCTAAACAATTGTTGGAAAAATTACTTGTGTTATGCACAAAGTAGATGTCCTTACTGACTTGCCAAAACTATAGTTTGTTAACAAGACATTTGTGGTTGAAAAACGAGTGTTTGTAAACTTCCGACTTCAACTGTATATATTTTTTGGACACATATATAACCCCTTATTTTTGTTTGCACTAAAGTACCTCCATACTTCCATTTATTTGAATGGGTTACCTTCAGACGAGTTCTGTGGGGCTTGTGGGGGCCATAGAGTAAAACGGAGTACACACGCTTCTGTCTATTTGAGCTGGTCAGTATGTGTAGGTAATCCTGTCTAATGCAGCTTTTATTTTTTTAAATCTATCGCGTAGTAGAACTGCGTAAGTGTTGCTCTCCACTTTCTGGAGGACCGACTTCTAAAATCAGTGGAATTAGAGTATGATAGCTAAGGCGATGGAGAAAACACCTGTCTCCGGATTACATCTTCAAACTAAGGGCAACCATGGCATCCGTGACAGAGAGGGAGAAGCGTCCAGCCATGTATACGGGTAAGATAGTGTAGCTAGCTACATTTTCAGATAATACACGTTTCTAATTTTGTCAGAAAGTCGTTTTCATTTCAAGTTAAAGTGTACTGTTAGCTAGCTAACGTTACGCGTATGATCTGTGTAGTAATATTATTCGTATCTCAGAGCCATTTGATTTGCTAGTTATAGCCTAATGTTAGCTAGCTAACATTGAACCTGGTTGGTTAGCTACCTGCAGATTCATGCAGGGTAGTAATGTCATGAGTTGGGATTATGGTTCATTGTTTAGCTAGCTAGCACATGTCTTAACAAAATACTTTACTATGCAAGTATCCATTTCAATAGAATGTTCATGATGTCACTGCGACACGACAGCTGTTGATAGACGTAGCTGGTGAATTCACTCTGGCTATCTACTCCGATTTCAGAGCACTCTCGTCTGAGTGTGCCAGAGTGCAGAATAACTGACAAATTTACGAATGCTCAACACCCATTGAATATGGCCGGTGTCAGTAAACGTTGGCAAAAAAGTGTAATTAAATTGTTGCAAGCAGCACAGTTGCAGTCACCAACGCTCTGGATAACATAAAAACAGCCTAACCAGCTCTGCTAGGGCAAGTAAAATGGTCAGTGTGAGCTGTTCTCTCATTTGTGTCTGGAAGTAGCTAGCCAACGTTAGCCAGTTAGCTTGGGTGCTTGACAGCTGTTGTTAGGACAGAACGCTCAGATCAACCCTTAAAGAGATGGGTGGGGCTAAAGCTTAAGAGGCTGTGAACGATGCTGAATGGGTGTAAGAGGAGCTCTCCCTTAGGTACCAAAACATTCAAAGTTTATCAACTTTCAAAGCAGAATTACTTTCCCATTGTTCCTCAACTGTAGTGTATGATATACCATTATCTAGCTCTGAGTCTCTACTTTTATCCAATGTAAAAAATAAAATAAAAATAATAATAATATTACAATTTTACTACATAAGACCGAATCAAGCCAGTCTGTCACAAATATCTTATCACAGCACTGGCAAACCATGGTTGACTAACTCCCTGACCAAAATTGTTGACTTTTTATAACATTTAAGAAGGTTCATGTCCATTCTAGTAGTCTAATTCCTAATTCTATGGATACTGTAGTCTGTATATAAAATGTATACATATTAAATACATTTTCTCTGTTTTCATATGTAGGACTATAAGCCAGAGGAAGACCCATCCATCTTCCATTCCGAGAAAACTGGAAGAGGACCCCTGGGACCAGGATGGAAGGCATGTCTGAAATCACACTTTAATTTACCATATGGGACCATAGATTTTATGTATCATAAAAGCAGCGTGACATTTTCAAAGTAAAATAAGCATATTTGTTTCCCCAATCTAGCTTTGAATAGAAATGTGATTCACATGTTAAACCTGGGTATCCTTTGCCCCTCTCATTCCTCCCCTTGTTTGTGTCTATTCACTCTCTCTTTACCTGTGTAGAAGGAGCTCCACAACAGTAACTGTCCCTATATGACTGCCTATAAGCTTGTAACGGTGCATTTCCGCTGGTGGGGGCTGCAGGGACGAGTGGAGAACTTTATTCACAAGGTAAGAGCTCAGAAGAGTTAAGATCATCATTACATTCACTAGACTTGTTGCTGTACCGTCTTCTTCACAGGTCCCCAGATTTTAAACGTTTCTATTGACATTACAACCTTTTCTTACCTTTTGATGTGGCTTGGCAAATCAAGATTCTTGCTGCGCAGCTCAAATTTAGCATGCATTAAACAAACTATTCAACTTTGCCAACAACTTTGAATGGAAAACATTTTACACTGTTGAATAATGCAACTAAAACATATTTCACTCGTCAAATATGCAACAATTCACAAGCATAGACAGACAATTAAAAGGTTTATTTTCTCATCCGTAAACTCAATTACAAAACAATAGCACATATCAGGTACTGCTAGCTAGCTAACAACATTAGCTTCATTATTATATTATTATTAGTATTATTATTATTATTAGTATTATTTGGCTTCATTAGCCTAGTACAGTAACGTTATCATAGTGTTATTTTTATTACGCATTGCTAGGTAGCATGCTAAAGAAAATAATAGACTGTTAGGTACTAGTTAGCTGAATACTAATGTTAGCCACTATCTGAACCATGGTTTGATCAATATCATGAAAATCGTTACATGAAATAAAAGGAAATTGTGACTGAAGATGTTGGTCACTGGGAGTATATATTTAACCTTTATTTAGCCAGGGAGTCATGCTGAGACCACGGTTTCTTTTGAAGATGAGCCCTGTGCAAGAACAAGTCAATAAACAATAATTACACTATACACATAAAATTACACTGCATGAAACGCAAACACAGAACATGAAAAGCAAAACACAATCATATGAAACAAACACATTCTTAGCCAGTTATAATTGTAATGGTTTAGCAGACAATAAGAAAATAAGAAAAATATTTACATGGCTCAAAGAGAAGGAATATAATATCTATTGCAGATTCTTACCTTTTGATGTGGCTTGGCAACGCCATTAAAAGTTGTTGGCAAAGTTGAATAGTTTGTGTAATGCATGCTAAATTTGAGCTGCGCAGCAAGAATCTTGCGTTGCCAAGCCACTCCAGCTCTAGTCATAGACTGTTCTCTCTGCTACCGCACGGCAAGCGGTACTGGAGTGCCAAGTCTAGGTCCAAAAGACTTCTCAACAGCTTCTACCCCCAAGCCATAAGACTCCTGAACAGCTAATCATAGGCTACCCGGACTATTTGCACTGCCCCCCCACCCCATCATTTTACGCTGCTGCTACTCTGTTAATTATTTATGCATAGTCACTTTAACTCTACCCACATGTACATATTACTTCAACTACCTCAACTAGCCGGTGACCCCGCACATTGACTCTGCACCGGTACCCCCCTGTATATATAGCCTCCCTACTGTTATTTTATTTTACTTCTGCTCTTTTTTGTTGTTTTATTTTACTTTTTTATAAAAAATAAATGCACTGTTGGTTAAGGGCTGTAAGTAAGCATTTTACTGTAATGTCTGCACCTGTTGTATTCGGCGCATGTGGCCAATAAAATTTGATTTGATTTTGAAACTCATTCCCAAATTTGTTAATGGGTTAAATTGTTCAAATTCACACAATTTATGTGATAACAGAATTTCAACTGTATTTCACTCAACATTCCAAACGGCACATACAGTGGGGAGAAGAAGTATTTGATACACTGCCGATTTTGCAGGTTTTCCTACTTACAAAGCATGTAGAGGTCTGTAATATTTATCATAGGTACACTTCAACTGTGAGAGACGGAATCTAAAACAAAAATCCAGAAAATCACATTGTATGATTTTTAAGTAATTAATTTGCATTTTATTGCATGACATAAGTATTTGATACATCAGAAAAGCAGAAGTTAATATTTGGTACAGAAACCTTTGTTTGCAATTACAGAGATCATACGTTTCCTGTAGGTCTTGACCAGGTTTGCACACACTGCAGCAGGGATTTTGGCCCACTCCTCCATACAGATCTTCTCCAGATCCTTCAGGTTTCGGGGCTGTCGCTGGGCAATACGGACTATCAGCTCCCTCCAAAGATTGTCTATTGGGTTCAGGTCTGGAGACTGGCTAGGCCAATCCAGGACCTTGAGATGCTTCTTACGGAGCCACTCCTTAGTTGCCCTGGCTGTGTGTTTCAGGTCGTTGTCATGCTGGAAGACCCAGCCACGACCCATCTTCAATGCTCTTACTGAGGGAAGGAGGTTGTTGGCCAAGATCTCGCGATACATGGCCCCATCCATCCTCCCCTCAATACGGTGCAGTCGTCCTGTCCCCTTTGCAGAAAAGCATCCCCAAAGAATGATGTTTCCACCTCCATGCTTCACGGTTGGGATGGTGTTCTTGGGGTTGTACTCATCCTTCTTCTTCCTCCAAACACGGCGAGTGGAGTTTAGACCAAAAAGCTCTATTTTTGTCTCATCAGACCACATGACCTTCTCCCATTCCTCCTCTGGATCATCCAGATGGTCATTGGCAGACTTCAGACGGGCCTGGACATGCGCTGGCTTGAGCAGGGGGACCTTGCGTGCGCTGCAGGATTTTAATCCATGACGGCGTAGTGTTTTACTAATGGTTTTCTTTGAGACTGTGGTCCCAGCTCTCTTCAGGTCATTGACCAGGTCCTGCCGTGTAGTTCTGGGCTGATCCCTCACCTTCCTCATGATCATTGATGCCCCACGAGGTGAGATCTTGCATGGACCCCAAACCGAGGGTGATTGACCATCATCTTGAACTTCTTCCATTTTCTAATAATTGCACCAACAGTTTTTGCCTTCTCCCCAAGCTGCTTGCCTATTGTCCTGTAGCCCATCCCAGCCTTGTGCAGGTGTACAATTGTATCCCTGATGTCCTTACACAGCTCTCTGGTCTTGGCCATTGTGGAGAGGTTGGAGTCTGTTTGATTGAGTGTGTGGACAGGTGTCTTTTATACAGGTAACGAGTTCAAACAGGTGCAGTTAATACAGGTAATGAGTGGAGAACAGGAGGGTTTCTTAAAGAAAAACTAACAGGTCTGTGAGAGACGGAATTCTTACTGGTTGGTAGGTGATCAAATACTTATGTCATGCAATAAAATGCAAATTAATTACTTAAAAATCATACAATGTGATTTTCTGGATTTTTGTTTTAGATTCCGTCTCTCACAGTTGAAGTGTACCTATGATAAATATTACAGACCTCTACATGCTTTGTAAGTAGGAAAACCTGCAAAATCGGCAGTGTATCAAATAGTTGTTCTCCCCACTGTACATCAGTGCTGGTATAACATGGAGCAAGATTATTGCAGCTGAATGTCTGAGAATTGGATTAAGAGCAAACTTCTGGCTGGGTTTGGGCATAACACCCCAATCATAATAAAGATACAGTATTAAACTGTTGAGGTGAACACAGAGCCTTTTCACATTTGTATGAACTGTCAAAAAGTAATGAAAAACACGTGTTCACAATAGAAAGACACGTTAGGATTTTCAGAATAACTGCTCCAGTCTATTTACCCACCATTTAGTCGGGGAGCGAGACTTTTGCTTGAATAATTCAGTTTTTCTTCAAGAACAACATGTATTTAAATGTGTGGTTTTATATTTGGTATAAGAACTTTTTCAGTTTCACTTGAACTGGTTCTGAGCTGCTGTAAACTGCAGTTCCCTCCCACAGAGAGAAAGCCTTCAAAGATCCCGGCAAAAAATCAATTGTCCTGCATGATCTCTTTGTGGGAGTACATTCCCATGATCTTTAAAAAAAATATATAAAGCAGATTGGAAAATATATATATTTGTAACATGCACTACTAGATTTAGTATTGGTCAATAAGAGAATTCTAATTGTGTAAGCAAGGTTGAGAACCCCTGCAGTGCTTAAAAACACATCCTCTCATTGTATCCTCCCTTTCATCTGCACTGATTGGAAAGAACTTGGCAGGGGAAGACAATAAGGTGAAGGATGTCATTAGGCTGGTTTTTACCTAGTCACTTCTTTCAGATCAGTGCAATGACAATTAGAAAAAGAGCTACATAAGAATATATCTCTCTCTCTCACCACACTCTCATATCCCCTCTTCTGCCCTCCATCCCTCCCCCTCCTGGAGCAGCAAGAGAAGCGCCTCTTCACGAACTTCCATCGGCAGCTCTTCTGCTGGCTAGACCGTTGGGTGAACCTGACTATGGATGACATCCGCCGGATGGAGGAGGAGACACGTAGAGAGCTGGACCAGGTACGCATTCACAAACCCAGATATTGAATGAATATTGGCCAACTTTTTCACATTTTGTTACGTAACAGCCTTATTCTAAAATGTTTTTTTTCCCTCATCAATCTACACACGATACCCCATAATGAGAAAGCAAAAACAGGTTTTTAGATATTTTTGCAAGTTTATAAAAAAATAAAAACTGATATCACATTTACATACGAATTCAGATCGTTTACTCAGTACTTTGTTGAAGCATCTTTGGCAGCGATTACAGCCTCAAGTCTTCTTGGGTATGATGCTACAAGCTTGGCACACCTGTATTTGGGGAGTTTCTCCCATTCCTCTCTACACAGCTATTTTCAGGTCTCTCCAGAGATGTTAGATCAGGTTTAAGTCCGGGCTCTGGCTGGGCCACTCAAGGACATTCAGAGACTTGTCCCGAAGCCACTGCATTGTCTTGGCTATGTGCTAAGGGTCGTTGTCCTGTTGGAAGGTGAACCTTCGCCCCAGTCGGAGGTCCTGAGCGCTCTGGAGCAGGTTTTCATTAAGGATCTCTCTGTACATTGCTCCTTTCATCTGCCTCAATCCCAGTCCCTGCCGCTGAAAAACATCCCCACAGCATGATGCTGCCACTATCACGCTTCACCGTAGGGATGGTGCCAGGTTTCCTCCAGACGTGACAGTTGGCATTCAGGCCAACAAGTTCAATCTTGGTTTCATCAGACCAGAGAATCTTGTTTCTCATGGTCTGAGAGTCTTTAGGTGCCTGTTGGCAAACTCCAAGCGGGCAGTCATGTGCCTTTTACTGAAGAGTGGCTTCCGTCTGGCTACTCTACCATAAAGGCCTGATTGGTGGAGTGCTGCAGAGATGGTTGTCCTTCTGGAAGGTTCTCCCATCTCCACAGATGAACTCTAGAGCTCTGTCAGAGTGACCATCGGGTTCTTAGTCACCTCCCTGACCAAGGCCCTTCTCCCCCGATTGCTCAGTTTGGCCGGGCGGCCAGCTCTAGGAAGAGTCTTGGTGGTTCCAAACTTCTTCCATTTAAGGGTGATGGAGGCCACTGTGTTCTTGGGGACCTTCAATGCGGCAAAAAGACAATGGGTCTGAATACTTTCTGAAGGCACTCTATATGACTGCGCCATCAACTTGTTTATTTTGCAGACATCACTTGCTGCTTATATTCAGTCAACATATATTTTAAGAATATCATGGAATATAACAGAACATTTTAGTTTCACTTAGAATTAAAACCTTAGTGTAACAACCGTTTTAGTAAGTAATACGCTACAGTCCAGTTACAGCTTCCTCTGACCAAGTAGAAACAAAAAAAGTGTTTTTTCATGTGTCCATACAAGACAGAGGAATAGCAATTCTTACACTATTGTTCTAAATTCAATCACCCTCTTCTTCATCCTCAGCATTCAGCTAATTCAAATTCAATTTTGAAGTCGTGCACAATTATCAGTTTCTATTTGGTTTATATCGCCTAGTCATTGTCAGCATTCATTCAGGTAGAGACACAGTAGCGCCTTCGGACCCAAAAGCATAATCAGCGCTCTAACTCACCCTTGTGGTGGTGTGGAGCAATATTTTATTTTGTATCTTTTAACCTTTATTTAACTAGGCAAGTCAGTTAAGAACAAATTCTTATTTACAATGACGGCCAAACCCGGACGAAGCAACATGTGATAACATGAAACTACATGTGAAAACGTGTTTTTGGAACACTTCACATGGGAAAGTTCACATAGGAAATAATTTGCAAACACTTCACATGAGATCATGTTGTCACATGTAGTTTCATATTTGCATCCCCATGTGTCGCATTTATTTCACATAAGATCATGTTTTCACATTTATTTTATATCAGCTCATTTAACATGTAGCCAACACTTTACATGTTGCGTTTTATATTTTTGTTCATTTATATAAGCTAAACATTACATTTACAAAGTACTGGAAAATAACTACCTGAAACCACAACTCCCATAATGCAACAACTGACCGGAGCACATGTGAGCTGCCAGCTGTTACAGTGACAGTGATGAGAGAAATGGAACCAACTCAATGAAGTAGGTTCTGTGGTCTACTTACTTGAAGTTAATTACTTCATTTGTCACTTGACAGAGTAATTAAATCTGCAGTTTAAACAAAGCGGTCACCCGCCACTGTTTTGGCTAGAGAAATGTAACCACTCTCAAATTAGCTATGGGATGCAAGGACTGACCATCCATGACATAAAAATTATAGTTTCAACAATGTTTTGAGGCTATATCAGGGGTGGGCAAACTCTCTGGCTTGATGGCCACATTGGGATTTCGAAATACAACCGAGGGCCACACAGATGTTTTGGGGTGAGAAGAAATTGCAGGCCAGAAAAGGGGCTTCTACATACACTACCAGTCAAAAGTTTGGACACGCCTACTCATTCCAGGGTTTTTCTTGGAATGAAATGCCAAGAGTGTGCAAAGCTGTCATCAAGGCAAAGGGTGGCTATTTGAAGAATCTCAAATATATAATATAATTTGATTTGTTTAACACTTGTTTTGGTTACTACATGATTCCATATGTGTTATTTCATAGTTTTCATGTCTGCACTATTATTCTACAATGTAGAAAATAGTAAAAATAAAGAAAAACCCTTGAATGAGTAGGTTACACCAGTTCAGGTTGTGGAAATTCTGGGCCATACCGCTATCTAATATTTTTTCCCCATTTTATGGCCCTTTTAACCATTCTAGCACAGATAGAAACTGCAACCAAGTTTCTGTTTATAAAGGCTAATACGAAAATATGTCGAAGGATTGGAATATGGAAAAGGCAACAATTTATACTTGCTTCACAGAGTGACTGAAATGCATTGGAAAGTTCAGGAAAACATCAGGGAAGATAATCGGGTAATAATTGTGTGTGTGTAGAAAATATCTGCATTGCTTTCAATTGTGGTTTCGTCACATTCCCTTCTAACGTATCCTGTACGTGTTCCTGAGAGTCTTAGCTTTCAGGAATGGTGTCATAATAGCTGATGCCGCCAACCGTTCAAAAGCTAGCCAAATTTGTAGGAAGAAAACAGAAACCGCTCCAAAGCCTGGGATATCAACCATTAAAAGTTGGCCTTAGACCATAGAATTCTATTGTGTGACCTTACTGAGTAAAGTATTTTAATCATCATTTCATTTTAGCGAATCACACGACTGCGAAGGAAATGGCTCCAAATGGAGGCAGGACCCGGGCAGGAACCTGTGGTGTGCTAGTAAAACATTCCCCCTTGCCTCAGAAGGAGAAAGGCTTGGCTTGCAGTGGGCATTCCAATTAATCCCAAAGGTTTTCGATGGGGTTGCGGTCAGGGCTCTGTGCAGGCCAGTCAAGTTCTTCCACACCGATCTCAGCAAACTATTTCTGTATGACCTCGCTTTGTGAATGGGGGCATTGTCATGCTGAAATAAGAAAGGGCCTTCCCCAAACTGTTGCCACAAAGTTGGAAGCATCGTCTAGAATGTCAATGTATGCTGTAGCGTTGTTTTCCCTTCACTGGAACTTAGGGGTCTAGCCCGAACCATGAAAAACAGCCCAAGGCCATTATTCCTCCTCCAAACTTTACAGTTGGCACTATGAATTGGGGCAGGTAGTGTTCTTCTGGCATCTGCCAAACCCAGATTCGGCCTGCCAGATGGGGAAGCGTGATTCATCACTCCAGACAACGCGTTTCCACTGCTCCGGAATCCAATGGCGGCGCGCTTTACACCACTCCAGCCGACGCTTGGCATTGCGCATGGTGATTTTAGGCTTGTGTGCTGCTGCTCGGCAATGGAAACCCATTTCAATGGAAACAGTTCTGGACTTGACGTTGCTTCCAGAGGCAGCTTGGAACTTGTTAGTGAGTGTTGCAAGCGAGGACAGACGATTTTTACTCCCTACACGCTTCAGCACTCGGCGGTCCTGTTCTGTGAGCTTGTGTGGCCTACCACTTTGCGGCTGAGCCGTTGTTGTTCCTAGTCGCAGCTGAGCCTTTGTTGCTCCTACACGTTTCCACTTCACAATAACAGCACTTGCAGTTGACTGGGGCAGCTTTAGCAGGGCATAGATTTTACGAACTGACTTGTTGAAAAGGTGGCATCCTAGGACGGTGCCACGTTGAAAGTCACTGAGCTCTTCAGTAAGGTCATTCTACTGCCAATGTTTGTCTATGGCGATTTGCATGGCTGTGTGCTCGATTTTATACACTTGTCAGCAACGGGTGTGGCTGAAATAGCCAAATTCACTAATTTGAAGGGGTGTCCACATACTTGTTGTATATATAGTGTAGCTAACTAGCTGTTTTGCTTGCCAGCTCACCCAGAAACACATTAACCAGCTCGATTAGTATGTTGTCTTGTCAACCTTTTTAAATGAGTAGCAAGCAAGCTACAAGTTACACCAAATAACAGACATAATGTCTTCTACAGTAGCACATGCGTTGCGACATGCAGAATGCAAATGCACCGCACTGAAAACAAACGACAAACTTCAGGGCTGATTTTCTCTAAACAGCTGATCAGGGATATCTCTGTTGTAACTAACTATACTGCGCTCAAATTTGTTGATACGCAAGTTATAGCTTAGAATCTCCTCTTTTCAACCAGATATAAAGCTCAATGTTTGTTGGGGTAAAGGGGAAATGATCAGTCTATAATTTTAATGGTAGGTTTATTTTAACAGTGAGAGACAGAATAACAAAGAAATCCAGAAAAACGCATGTCAAAAATGTTATAAATTGATTTGCATTTTAATGAGGGAAATAAGTATTTGACCCCCTCTCAATCAGAAAGATTTCTGGCTCCCAGGTGTCTTTTAAACAGGTAACGAGCTGAGATTAGGTACACACTCTTAAAGGGAGTGCTCCTAATCTCAGTTTGTTACCTGTATAAAAGACACCTGTCCACAGAAGCAATCAATCAATCAGATTCCAAACTCTCCACCATGGCCAAGACCAAAGAGCTCTCCAAGGATGTCAGGGACAAGA